TGGCGACGAGCTCCCTGTGTCGGTTGACGGCGTCGCTGCGGTCTCTGGCGACGACTGCTGAGTCGGATGCGCGCGCGCTGGGTATCCAAACCATACAATATCTTGTCAAGCCGTACAACAGCTCCAATATTGCGCTCTTCCAGGTCAACATTTTGGACGAAAGCGACCGCTCGTGGGTCTTTTTCGGATGGAACTACTTGGCCGAGTGGGTCGTCGGGCTCCGCGAAGTCGTCTCGTTCCAAGGCGATGCTGGTACGATTACCACCATCTCCAAGCAGTCCAAGCCCATGACGCTTGCGATCGACGACGCGGGTATCCCTACCCGCCTCTCCTTCGTCTGCCAGCAGTGCGTACGCTACGTCACGGGTACGATCATGCTCGGCGCAGCCGTCGCCGCCCTCTACGCTCTGTTTGTTTGCCGCGGCGCGTACGAAGGCGCGAATCTCTTTGCGTTGAATCGACTCGTCGGGCATGCGTGGGTCGGCCGCGCGTTGCTTATTGTGCGGGGCGTGACCGCGCTATGGCTCCTCAACACGCAGCCGCTCGAGCTCACGGCAGTCGGCGCGGGTGCTCGCTTTGTAGCACCGCCGCTCGCTGTCGTTCCGACGCTTCTCGGCGCGTCTGAGCTCTCGTGGCTCGTGTACATCATGAACGACGTCCTTAGCTGCGTCACCCGCCAGTACACGCCGTTTTATGCGTGGAAGAGCTCGGTCGCCGCAAGCGCCGTTGCGGCGGTGTGGACGTGGGCGGTGCCGCAAGACTACACTGCCTACGTCCGTCGCCGCTGCACGTTTGTGGATATGGACCTGGCGCTCACGTGCATCAGCGGACACGTTGAGCTTGGCCGCGTGAGCCGTATCTCGATTGACGTCGCACTCTGCGTGAGCTGCGTCTTGGGGACCGCCGTCGTCGAGCGGCTCCTGCGCCCGACGCTGCCATCGTCCCGCATCACATCGCTTTTTTTGAACGCGACGAGTCTGTACTCGTCGAATCTGAGCTACTGGGCAATCGGCGACGAGCAGTACACGGACAGGATGTCGGCTGCGATGGGCGGCTTGTTCACATGGCGCTATCGCGGAGACATGCACCTCTTTGACATTAAGAGCTGGCGGCACTTTGTCGTCGCGCCCGAGACGATGTGCCCGTTTCCAGCGTCGGCCGTGCTGCCGCTGCATCGCATTCGGTGAGGCTATGAAGTAGTGTTGTCCGATTCTGTAATCATACCGACTGATACCACAACCACCTTGCCAGCGCCATCAAGCAAAACCAACATCAAGATGCATGTCCTTGTTGCACTGACTCATGCATCGCAACCTCAATCAATGGATGCTACGGGTGTTGACAAGTTGAGAAAAGCTCTTACAGGGGCTTGTGGTGGTCGTGGATGCCAATACTTTTGATCGGACGTCTCTATGCGAGCACCAGCTTGACGCGTGCACTTTGCGGCACTGCTTGGTGCGGAACTGTATCCCACCGTTGCCATGCCGGCATCGAAGAACCTGACTTTAGAAAACTGGCAACGAAGAACAAGAGCAAGGAAGTCCATGGACGGCTCGGTGGAAGTGGAGTTGGATACATATATGTACGGTACATGCTTGGTTAGCTTCAAACTTCAGATTAAAAAAGCTGAGTTTGTCGAACCGAATCGCGTCCAAAGAAACGCAGGAGCAAAGACGGACCGATGCCCGCTACTATGAACCAGAAGCGAGAAGAGAATCCTGGATGTTGAACACAGATCGCTGGGCAATTTATCCAGATAGTAGCTAAAAATCCGCTTACTTGTGTTATCCGTACATAATTGCCTTGTTCAGTCATCTGGCCGGTCGCGTTGACATAGACAAGACCATCGCCCGTCTGCGACTAGATTGCAGACAGTACTAGTAGCTATCTGCTTCGTACCAGGGATGCCTCCCTAGAATCCCACGTCCTGTGTACCTTTGGTAGCCAAATCGGCTCGAATCCAGTTGTCGGTTGGAAGGGACCCTGGCAGTTCAAGACACGGGTGTGGACGCGACAATGTGGTCGATTTGACCACGCGCCACGGGTATTCTGAAGCGATATCAGTTCAACGAGCAGCGGTACTGAGTATCTTATTATGTGATATTACCGTACCCTGGGTTGCTGGTCGGTAAGCACTGAACCGGCCAGTTGCACGGTCGTGTCCACCACGCAGTGATCACCGCGTTGTTTATGATTCCTTTTCAAGCCGAGTGATAGGAGCAACTGGTCTCAAGTGCGTTCAAGTCCTGGCGACCACTTGGTCATTCTTCAAATCTCTCTCTTCAACAAGCATTCCCAGAAACAACAACTCGGACAAGGATGCCAGAGGTGACAACAGAAGTCGGCATCGCCTTTGCACTCACGTGGGCCGCGGCGTTTGCGACCTGCATCGGCGGTCTCGTCATCTTTAGCGCGTCCATGGTCAAGATGGCCAACGCCAAGAACCTCTCGATCGCGCTTGCGCTCGCCGGTGGTGTCATGGTCTTCATCTCGCTCGTCGAGATCTTCAACGAGTCGGTCGAGCAGTTCAAGGCTGGCAACGCCGATGAAGCTGGCAAGTGCGACACAACATGCGAAGGCAACGCTTGGGTCTTTACCAACATTTGCTTTGCCGTTGGCGCTGGTATCATCTACATTCTCGATGCGCTCGTGCACCGCCTCTCGCCCGATCTCAAGGACGAAGTCGACGTTGCAGATCTCTCGCGCCTCGAGCAAGTTGTCGACGGCCACGTCCTGCTGACAACGCCGAGAGGCGGCGACAAAGACGTGCTCGCGGGCAAAGACAAGGCGGCCATGAACCGCACGGGCATCCTCACGGCCATTGCACTCGCGATCCACAACCTCCCGGAAGGCGTGGCCACGTACACGGCAGCGGTCCACGACCTCAAGGTCGGCGCGACGCTGGCCATTGGTATTGCACTGCACAACATCCCGGAAGGCATTGCCGTCGCGACACCCGTCTACTTTGCGACCGGCAGCCGCTGGAAGGCGTTCTTCTGGGCCTGCGGGTCGTCGCTCGCCGAGCCGCTGGGCGCGATCCTCGCCTTCTTCATCCTCGGCGACGGCCTCAACCCGACAGTCGAAGGTGCTATGTTTGGTCTCGTCGCTGGTATGATGGTGACGCTCTCGATCAAGGAGCTGATTCCGTCGGCCGTCAAGTTCTGCCCCGATGGCCACGCGGTCTCGATCGCGATCCTCGGCGGCATGGGCATCATGTCGTTGAGTCTGATCCTCTTTGCGTACGTTGGTGTCTAAGACGCGATAGGCATCGGAGACGTCTCCTGCCGAACACAATTATTGGACGCAGGTTTTTGATATCAGTATTCTATGAGCAACTACAATATGTACATACTTTGTGTTTTATTTTCGTTGTCACTTCGCCAATGACCGAACTAGATGGTTATTTAGGACTCGTACTTATCGAATGACATCACACTGAATAAGCCCAAAAGTGCTTGGTCGTGGGCGTGATACGGTCTTACGGTGCCTTCAACGACATTTGCATGGAATGAACATGGCCACATTTCGGCTTTCTCAACACCGTGTACCGAGGAAATGGACCAATAAAGTTACTCTCAGTGTTTACAGCAGCACGAGAAAAGAGACAAATCGATTCATCGACACTGGTGTCGTTGCCGGCGGGGTACAGCAAGGCCGTTGTATCAATAGGAAAATCTCTGCGCCCCAGCACTGCGCCGATGAAAACACCGGAGGTCGCACATGAAGACGATACGGCCATGCAGCAGATGATGTCAATAGAGTCCGCGGCGCTTATCAAGACTTTTACCAGTGGTTAAAGACTGGATAAAAGGGTTAAATGCACGCAATTCCTTCATCTTGCCCTGGTGGACTTGAATACCGGTACGCAAATCACCTAGCAAGATCGTACGTCTCTCGTTGGGTGGCATCACGCTATTTAATAAAGGTGGCGTTTTACGAAATTCTGGCGAAATGGCTGATACCTGTTAAACATGATACGTATTTATTAAATACGGGAGGCCATGACGTGGGGACACACAAGAAGTCCCTGGGCAGCCAGGGACAAGTACCGGTATGATCGATCCTTTGCATAGACGAAGCTTGCTATTTTACAAAACACGAGGAATGCATGGGCCATCATGAAGAGGATCTCTGCTTGGTTTTATAGCTGTCTCGGCGAGATACATGTAGCCTAGTAACATTGGCATTTGGTAAGACAGCTACGGAATCATTCGCGAGACGTACCCTCCTTAGAGAGCGGCTCATTGCCTTCGGTC